CATCTGTCAGACAGGCTGCTCTGGAGGTGGTCCTGGCTGGGAGCGATAGCGACACCCCGGAGGAGAAACGGGCCAGAGAACAGGCTCAGACTTTCATTTTCTAGGCCAGGCCTTATTAGGAAAACGGTCTCCCATAAGAACACTGCTCCTCTTGAGCATAATTCCCACATTCCCAAAACAAACATTTAACCTTCCTTTCTTGAGTGGATGTTCTCAGACTACCGTTTGACACTAATTTCTTCCTCAGTGACGACATGAACTCCTGAGCATTTGTTGGAAATATTGAAGTGGGGTTGTTTTGTTCACAATTGCCCTGTCAAAATTAAACACTGGTGTTTTGCTTTTCCAAACTGTTACATTTTCAGCAGAGTCCTGTTCTGGGACCTGCAATCGTCATTCTAGGCCACCCCAGCAGCTATAGCAAAACCATTCCTGAAGCTGTCAGGTCATCTGCACAGAGCGGCCATAGGTCAGAGGAGCTTTGTCAGGATAGATATACGCTGCCCAGGACAGACCCTGCACCTCTGTTACCAACTCTTTCATTCATCGTCCTATATGCACATCAAATTCTGAAATGTAAATGTTGCCACCCTCTTGTCCTTCCCTTGCACGATACCAGGATCTGGATGGTCCTGTGTATTTATATGGGTTTGTCAGTTCAATTCCTGTTCACTGGAATTAAGTTTCCACTGATAAAACCCGCATAATTCTTACCTTCTGTGTTAGTGTCACAGAGGCAAATACTTAAGTTCTTTGTTAGTGACAGTATTACTCAGCCAGTTTCCTAGGAGTTCCGTGATGGAGGGTTTCCAGACAACAAGAACTCTGCTTAAACAGCTCCTGTCTGCACAGGCAGTTTACATTTCATTAAGTAATATTACGAGCAGACAATTTTAAAACCAATCTATCCAGCTATTTAAATTATTATAATAGCACACTGACTAACTGTTCTTCGCAGTTACCAGTTGTGTTCTTAGGTAAAACAAGGTTACCTTTGTTTAGAAAGTGAAAGGGTGGAGAATATATACAACAGAACAGTAGTGCACATAACAAAAGATGTACTATGAAGGACTCTGACAGAGGATTGTTTTGAGATCTTTTAGCTGTTTAACTGGATATTTTTTTTTTTTTTTTTTTTTTTTTAGCCAGCCTATCAAAATTTGAGGCAGAAAGTAGACAACTTTGTATCGACCCACCTGGACAAACAGGAATGGAATCCAGCAATGAATAAAAACCAGTTACGAAATGGGCTAAGGCAGAGTGTGATTCAGTAAGTAAGCAACATTCTGTAAAATAATGGTAATGCTATTTGATAAGTAACATATAACTGTCTTATCACCTAAGTCAAATAAGAATTTGCAGAATTAAGTTTTTCACAACACTTTCTGTTGTGCTCTCCTGAGTTTCATTATAATAGTGGATGCAGTCTTAACTCTCATTAAAATGCTTACATTACTGCTTTACCTGAAATTTGTATTTTCATGAGTTGGGCAGCATGGTGAAGTACTCATATTCGCTATCTAGCCAAGTTATTGCTGCAAATAACCAAAACTGTGCCTGCTAGCAAAACTGTGCCTGATGTGCTGAGCTGAATGGCCTTGATCTTTTATTTTCAGAAAAGAGAAGAGCCTACATCGTTCAAAGAAAAAAATCCTGAAGATGCCAAAGCGTGTTTAAGTAGACTCCGACCACTAGCAGGCAGTAATCAAACTGGGCTAGCCTGATTTCAGGCAGCAGAGGGTAGCTTTTGTACGGCTATTTAAGATAGTACATTTCCAGCATGACAGGAAAGCCAACTTAAACTATGCTGCTTAGAGATTTAGGTTTAGTATATCTTGCTGATAACTCATTGCAGTCTGAAGCACAAGCCTTAGCTTGTTTGACTAAAAGTCATGGATAAAAACTTTATAGTAAAAGTTGTGGGGAGAGGGGCAGTAGGGAACTTGATGATGGCATTTATGCTTATAAGGAAAGCTATTAGAATGTCTCGCACACAGAAGAAACTGTATTTCAGAGCACTTGATAGAACCTGTAAATCATTAGTATGTCCACTTCCACTAGAAGTACAGAATTTCCTGTCATTACTTGGAGTCCTCGAGATGTGTTTGCCAATGCTTCCTCTTATTTCATGTTACTCTACCACTAGAATGAAGCGGACAATTGAAAATTGTTATATCAGAGAGCCTGTAATGAGAAGAATGTAAAGTGCTCCCTTTACGTAGGCTATTAGTATAAAGAATAGACACACAGTATTAGAGAGTTTGAAGAGTCCCCATCACTCCTGTAGTTGCCAGACTGAGCGCTGAGGGTGTCAAGGTGCATATGTCCTTTGCTGCATGCACGTATATGTGTGCTGTTACCTGGAGGTGACATGATGTGCCATGACCCTGCACCCACTCGCTCACCAGCATTCACGGCCTTATTAGTCTTGTGGCTACTTTTCCCAGCGCCAGGCAACGTCTCTGTTTCCTGTCCCCCGCTCCCTTGCAGACATGACTTAAGCCTGCTAGACAGCCTGTGCCCCACAATCCAAGAGTCTGACGCAGCCCCTGAAGTAATAAGTCACTTCAATTACTAGTGTTCAGTTCCAGAAACTTTGCTGTGTGCTACATGTACTTGTTTTTATAATTAATACCCATCTGTCTAGACTAACAGTTATAAGTAGTGAGCGACAGTAATGTTATTAGGGGGAAGGCCTCTTCTCCCTCAAGTCAGCCAAAAAAAAGACTGTGCTCTCACCTGCCCTCCTCCTCAGAATAGCTTGTTTCCCTTGTTTGTGCCAAAACGTGTTTGTTTGCTTTCGTGTTGACCTCATTTCCACATATGCCCTATTAAAGTGGCTCTTGTCCAACATGTCATTTAAGTACCTGGGAGACCAGATATCAGTTGTTAATTCTGTAGGGAGAAGTAAGAGGGAGTGGGGGGAAATAGGTGATTGAAACAACTCCCTGTTAAGGATCTACTGAGTGTGCTGCAGTTCTCACCATGTTAATGCTAATTGCAGTTGACAGGAGGGCTCTGGAGAATTACTGGAGGAGATTGGGGAGAAGTTTTTCAGAGGAGCTGAATGACTTCTTTGTCTTTGTTCAAGGTCAGGAATGCTGGAAGCTGGAGTGGACAGAATTATTTCTCAGGTGGTGGATCCAAAACTAAACCACATCTTCAGGCCCCAGATAGAGAGGGCGATTCATGAATTTTTGGCTGCACAAAAGAAAGAGGAAAGTGTGCCAGCTCCTCCTCCAGAGCCTGAGAATAAGGATCCTCCTGCTCCATCTCAGGATGCCTCCTAAAGGTCTTGTATCTCTGCACTTATGTTTTTCATGTACCTCATCTCCATAGTTTGTATAATGCAAGACAGAGAAGACATTGTATTCTTCCTGGCTTGACAGGGAGGACACTTTGATCATCAGCATGTTGTCAATGTCAGACAGTCATCTGAGCTGCTTCCACTTAAGTGTCTGCTAAAAATATGTTAGGACTGAAGACATAGGTATGATGTAAAACAGCTATCAAGGAACACTGTGGACTCTGCCAGTGCTGGTTTTGGATCAGGCCAAAAGGCCTTTTATTCCTGTAAAAGCATATCCAGCAGTGATTGACATGGAATTGGCTGGATAGGTTTCAGAACAATATCAAATGGATTAAAAATATATATCCTTTACTAAATACAGCTGAAAGTAGAGTGGTGACAAGTTATTGTGCTTTAGCATTGAAAGTTTTAGATAGCTCTTCTTTAGAACATACACTGGAGTGTTGAATTGTTAGTGACTGAAATGTTCACTGCTGGAGTAAGGGTAGTGTCTCTGGGAGTGAAGAACTGTTCATTCCAAACTGACTGGTTTAAATAGAGCAACCTATATCTTTCCAGCTGAAAGGACTGAGGGTGCCTTTGTTGCAAACAAGTTCATTCTGGCTTTTGTGATTAAAATAACTCAAGGGGCCTCAGGGGGCTATAATTGCTACTCTGTCTTAACACAAATGACTATGCACCCATCTCCGCTAAGGCCCTTTATCTTAACGTTGATTTGAATATTGAAGCCTGTGTGCACATTACTGAGGAATCACTATCTTGATGGAAAATTTCAATCTGCAGCTTTGCTGGGGAACTTAAAACCATACTGCATGAAAGGAAGTTAATTGTGAATTGTTCTATCTGCTAGAGCTTTCTGAAAGCAAAAATTTTCCTTATAATCTACAGCTGATTTATTAAGAAGAATTAAGTAACCTACAATAGCTGTTCTTATGCTTGGAATTATTAGATCAATTAGCATGACTTTTAATTTAATAGTAGAAGTTAAACTGCCTGTAGTATCCTGAGTTATTTAGTTATCTGTGACTTGCAGCCTTAATGCCTTGATAGATCTTTGCATTTGTCCGGTTCAAGTAGTTTAAAGTCTATTACAACCTGCAGCTAAGTGCAGCTGTTAATTAATATAGTCTAATCTATTCTCTATTCAAATGCATTTACTCGTGAAGGTACCATCCTCTAAACTCTTTTTTTTTTTTTTCTCCTTGCAGTGAGTTCCTGATACTAAGCGGCTGCAGTTGCAAAATATGTGTCCTGTTAGATTGGCAATGGATTACTTGTTCCATTTGGTGCAGGGCTGCTGTCTGCCAAAGATGATTAACCTTTATCAGACCTGTGGGAAGGCATTGAAATCAGTGAAATTCAGATGCACCCAGAGTTCTGCGTGTGGAGGGAGAGCCAAAATGTGAAGATATTTTTGCTATTAACAGCAATACGGAGAGCATCACGTATTCTTGTTAGTCATGGCTTCAGGCAAGGGGGTGGGAAGAAGAAGGGAGTTGGCTCTTGTCTGGAGGGGGCAGGGAAGTGGTTTGAGATGATACTGGACTTGGGAGCAGGAAGAAAAGAAAGACGTTTTGGGGGGTGGGGTAGTCTCTTGGAGACCAAGTAAGAGCTGACAGATTTTCTTTGATAAACGCCAGATGAGAGGAAGCATCATACACCTCTGCTGCATAACACAGCATTGAGTAGTAGGTGCCAAGTCAGGTGTAACTCATTGCACTGCCTGCTTTAGGAAAGACATTTCCTGTTTAAAACTGGAAAGAACATTTCAGGATCAATTATCTAGATAATTTCTGTTGCATTGCAGGAAAATGTTTACAGTTGGCTATGACTATAGCTGATTTAATTCTTACTTCCTAGGTAACTCTGGGAAGCAAAGGGCACCAGAGTAGGTGATCAGTTTGAAACTTGTCTCTTTCAACTTGAAAGACTTTTCTTTCCCATGCAATTTCTCAGGTGCCTAGTGGAAACTGTCCTATGCTTTCAGCTTGAATGCATGCAGTGTCCTCTGGATGACAGTCAAGTAGAGAATGTGATCAAATATTCTGCCAGCAAATGTCCATACCTTTTGCAATAAAAGACTTCAAAAAGCATCTCTGACTCCTAGCTTCTTCAGAATTTTTTTCTTAAGGAAAAAATACTTTAAAGAAATCCGGGAGTCCTGACTGCTGGAACATTAGTGGAAGTGTGACCTCACACAGTTCATAGATTAATCCAGGTCTGACAACAGGGGGTTGTTAGTAGAAGTTATCATGAAATAAGATGGATATTAGTATTCCAAATTAGTATAAGGTCTCTCAAAAAATCCAAAGTGTCAAAGAACTGAACTGACCTTACCTCACATCATTTATGAGGTATAAATCCTGAGTAAGTTCAGTCTGGTGCTAGTGATGGTGAAGGCACGTTCAACCTTGTGAAAACAATGCACTTCTGGCAATAGGCTAGAGCTATTCCATTTTCTTCCTTTCAGATAGCAATCTTCTAAGAAGCGAATAACTGCCTATGTCATTGAATAGCACTTAATAATGTTTGAATCCTTGCTACTCGTGGGCTACATACCTCAACTACAGCCTTGCCGATAGACCTTGTATGTGAACAGATGCAATTCCAGCTATACTCTGCTCCCTTTCAAAACAGGTAATTTGTAGGGAAGATTGATGCTGTGGTTTAATCTTGTAGCTAACTTACTTTGCTTAGTACCTCCTCTCAACACAGTTCTATGCAGAAATGGAGATGACAGAGCATCTGGTATTTTAAACCCTTTACAAGAGAGCTCTGTGAACTTCACCACTGCAGTAAGTTTGCACTCTGCACAGTGCTGTATAGTTCTGCTGATACGTGATTCTTCCGTCAATATTTTTTTATCCTATTTAAGAGTGTTCCTCTCAGAATGGGAGCTTAAATACCTGTACTTTTTAGTGATAACTATATTGGCCGCAACCTTCCTGAAAGAGTTTGAAAAATCTGTATTTTGGGATAATCTGGTTGTGTGGCTTGACTCCTGCTGTTACATAGTCTGTGTTCCTGCTATAAAACAGGTCAAGGGGTATGTGAGGAAAGGGTTCTCCTCTGCATGTTGATCTGGTGGTTAAAGACCACTCTCCAAATCAGTAGTAGGTGTTTTCCCTTAGAGCCTTAAGGGCAGCTCTTGGCAGGAAAAGATCCATCTTTTACCTCCTGGTAGGGTGTCTCCACCACTTTTTTGAAACTGAGCCATTTATGCAGGGGGGAAAAAAAAAGTTCGAGTCTAGAAGGAGAGCAAGTGAAAAGGATTCTAACTGCTGAGAAAAGTCTGGATTACAGTACTAGTAGTTAGGGAGCAGGGATGCCAGTTCAGTTTTAAAAAGTAGTAAGTAGAGCTGGATTTATTGCAGTGAAGAGGGAATCTGAACCTGTGTTCCCTACCTCTGACAAGTGTTCTAACAGCTGAGTGAAGGAGCATAGATTCAGCCACCATAGTTTTTAAGAGGTTTTTCCATTGTTGTGTCTTTGAATGTGGTGCTATGTTAAACTCTGAACACTAACGCTGTGCCACTGCTGTGCGTGTGTAGGGCTATGCCTTCAGCTGGTCTCAGCCTATGCACAGTGCTTGACTGCAATGACTATGGGAACTTTCAGACCAGAACTGAGGCACCTAATGAGATTAGGCAGCCGATCCACGTTTGGGATCATAGTCTTTAACGTCCGGGCTCTAAAGTCCCTGCTTTGGATCAGAGCCTTGGAAGTAACAAGCTTTGGAAGCATACTTACATCTACCGGGACAGCGAGAAAAACCACCGAGTCCTTACCATGATGAAGGAATGGTAGGTAGTGCCCCCCTTGATTGGGATACATTTGTCCCTGGCAATTGATAGAAACAGGATTCCAGCCTTTGTAACTCAATGATATTATAGAAATCTTCACACCAGAACAAAAGAACAAGTTTTTACCTACTGTAGAAGTGAAACTGCTCCCTTGTGTAGTAGGATGTCAGACTAAAGTTAGCGATGTAAACCGACTAATATGCTGTGCTGGATATGTTAAATACAGTCTAGAGCCGAGTGAGGTGGGCAGGTCTAAGACACCTGAATAATTCAAGAAGCAATTAGATGCCTTTGTGGAGCTGAAGGGGCAGGGCCGTACATTAGGAGGATGAGCCTCAGTGGTCAAATGGCCGCCTCGTTGATCTCCGAGTCCTTCTCACATTCAAGTTGACTGTTCCTGTTTCCTGGACAGTCATTTAGTGCCTCGAATTTTCTTTCTCAGGTGAATACGTTCATGCTTTTAATAAATTTCAAGAGATTGCACCATTTCTTCATCTGATATACTAATAATGTGAAGGAACTTAAATGATTTTCTGCCTCCTTGGCTTTGCCTGTCCCAACCATGTGCATTTGTTTCTGCCCGGTCACAAGAGATCAGCTGCAGTTTAAAGAAAACATGCAGAGAGTTTGCATTGCATTCTTGGAAAACCAGCCTTGCCACTCGGTGGCTGCTCTGCCCTGTGGAAATGCCGGAGTCCAAAGCCCGCAGGAGCCAGCCTGGCTCAGTAGGTAGGTACTAGATTAGGACCTAGGAGGTACAAGTTCTCTGTGGAGTCCTGCTAGCCCACAGCCACGCCTGTGGCTAGTTGTTTTACCTGTTTGCTTGCCTGTGAAGTGAAGATAACTTTACCCTCCTACGTAAGTCCTGGAGTGGGGAGGAAGTCAGGTGCTATAGTTAGGCCCTATACAATGAAAACACAGAATTAAAGGAGTGCATACATCAGTATACAGACACCAGTAAGTTGTGATATACTGTACAGGTTTTAAGGATTAGACATTCTAGCTGAAGTCCCATGAAGTCATCTTGAAATCCACATCTTGCTGGCCAGACTGGGGGTTTTAATTATGCCATTTAGTGTCAGATCATGATTTCAGAATTAGAAGCAGAGGGACTGAACTATGAACCAATGAATCCAGTTTCACAAGCCCTATGAAGGAAGAAAAAAACCTACCCGAACCCACAAACCTATCTAGAAGGATTGCATTGCCATGCATCAGTCAATCATCCCAGCACTTATCAATCACAGCCAAGTGGCATATAAGGCAGTGCCTGAAATTCTAGCTGTTGCTTGGCTATTAAAGGAATTATCATACATCCCATATGATTAAAATACAGTAAAGCAAAAAAACCACCCTGATCTTAAGGTGGGGGGAAGAAGAAGGGAGAGCAGGATGCCACTGATGATGGCCACCAGAAAAGCCATGAGCAGATGTCAGCACTCTCCCCTCCAGCACTGCCTCAGCTGCTGCACTTTGCTGGGCTGCCTTTGGGGTTGATGGATCACTGGTCACTTAAGGCAGACAAGCCAGAGCACAAGGAAGTGGGTTATATTAATTAACTTTCACCAGCTGACCCTTCTGGCAAAAGCAGGCTTGAGAAATTAGTCTGGACACGGACTGTATGGCCCAGGTTTCTGCAGCTTTCCTGCAGAGCTGGGTGTCCTGGAGGGTTTATAACCTACATATCCAAATCTCAGCAAAACAGAAAATGCTGCTGTCCTGCACTCCGGATAACCCAAAATTCCACTGGATACATAATTCTTAAAATTTTCACAGACATTGAACTCTAATGTTCTTTAGTCAAAGACAAGTATAATCAGGTTCTCTTAAGTGAACCAACTAAATTTACAGGCTTACTAGAGAAAATAGAGAAGAAGAAGGGCTTTCTTAGTTGTTCTGGGAGTTCTCATATCATGCAGACATCTCAGTTCAAGCGTTACTTGCAGCACTGCAGAACTTTTCTTACTTTCCCACCATCTGTTTTCCCTTCTTCATGTCAAAACCTGAACTGAAGCCTTACAACAGTTCCGATGTTTTTTTCCTTTGACAGTGTCCCAAATGCTGTAATGTTAGAAAAACTGAGAGCAGAAATCCATTGCCTTTCCCCCATTATTCCTGAAAAATGTACGTGTAACGCATACCACCAAACACACAAAGCAATCTAGGTGGAATCACAGTGATGTTACTTTTATGAACATACATATTTTAGTTCAAGAGAAACTTAATTACAAGTACTGAACAGGAGTTAAGTGATGAAAAATGTGTTTCTTGAAGTAAAACTGATTCTTGCTATAAATGATTAATAGGCATTTTATGATTTTTTTTTTGGCAACTTCTCATGCAAGTGTTACATAAAATAAATGGATGCTTCCCCAGACACTCGCTATGTAGCTGTTCTGTGACAATGACTCCAGAGACGCTTCTTCCAATTTAACCTGAAACAGATTACCAAGAGAGCAAGATAGTCACTGCAGCTCCTGACCACCTTAACAAGACCAGTTTCACCTGAGCCTGGATTTTGGACATATGCATTCTTCTAGCGTTTTTGGAACCGCAAAGGCGGCTCTTGAGCAGGTCATTTGGTTCAGGCGCAATACTACAGTATTAATTTAACATCAACAGTTCAAGAGACATCTCACCATCAGGTAGCGATGCTGCTAAGTGACGTCGAAAAAGTAACTCACTGAGCAAAGACTCAAGCCCAACCAGTTCTCTGCCCTCATCAGCTGTTTTACTGACTAGTATCTAGTCCATTGGCAAGTCAGACGCTGACTCAAGTAGACTTCACCAAAAGAAGCAGAACCAAAATTGCCATTATATATTTAGCCCCTGCCTAAACCGGCCAGTATTTTCCAGAGGCAGTTCTTCCATTTGTAACCACATCCCATCCTAGAGTTAGCACGATGTCTCTGTCTGTTAGAGCTGAACAGTGAGATTGTTACTCAATCCCTGAGTAACTGCAAGCAGGTTTGTTAGATCAGACCCCTGTAACTAAACACCTGAACCCAAGCATATCTGGTGAAGGGAGGACAGCC